TTGCCTTGTATGCATTATGCCTCATGCCCCTCATGTTAGCATGTTTTGGCTTACTTCCATGCATGTTTTAGTCTCATTTTAACATATTCTAGGTCTGCTTTGCGCCAACCTGTCCAATAAAAAAACAATAATAATAACACTTGGCATGCCATGTGGCATGCCAGACAGGTGTCTTGGCATGTTCGAGTAGTGTCTATGTCAGACATGTGTTGGACACATACGGCTACTAAAATAGATAGTCCGTGCTTCATAGCAGATGGGCTTACAAACATGTAGATACACATTTTACAGTCATGAACTGTGGCACATATTCAAGGTACAAAAATCTAGCACATAATGTGGACTCATCTACATGACAAACCTGGGAAGTGAATACGCAGGGACAAAACAATAAATATAATTGTATGTTTATATTTAAGCCTAACAATGAATAACAAAAACATATATATATTCAGGAAAATACATAAATAGACATAAATTATTGCAAACATTTATTTTCAATTTTTTTTTTCAATTTTTTTTTTCAATTAAATTTTTTTCAAATAATTTTTTTTTCAAATAAATTTTTTTCAATTAATCTTTTTTTTAATTAATTTTTTTTCCATTTATTTTTTTCCCAATTAATTTTTTTTAATTAATTTTTTTCCAATTATTTTTTTAATTAATTTTTTTCAATTATAATGTGTGTGATTCCATTATCATAAATAATAAAAATAAATATAAATTAGTTTATGCTTTTAAAATTTTTTAAACATTTTATTCAAACCAAACGCGTTTGTAATTTATATTTTTCTTAAAATAAAAAAAAAACCAATTTATAAAAATTTTGTAAACATAAACCAAAAACGTAAACGTTATCAAACGCTACCTAAACATTTCGTATTCAGTTTTCAATTTAAATTTATAAAAATTTTAAAAACTGTCATAAAAATTTGTTTGATAATTTTTTTGATTTATAAATGGTTGTCCCAGTTTGTAAATTTGAGGAAAAAACGTAAATTCAAAAATGAGTTTACGTTGGTTTTTAAACAGAAATTTAAAAATTTTACTAACAATTTTTTTTTTCAATTAATTTTTATTTCAAATAATTTTTTTTCCAATTAATTTTCTTTTCAATGATTTTTTTTTCCAACTAATGCTAACCAATGGGGCAATTGGTAATTCTACTTTAAACCTTAAGGAGGGGATTGTAATTTCCAAAATGTGAGGAGTGTCAATATAATTCACCCAGTGAGGGCAAAATTGGTATTTAAAAAAATTAAATTGCTGAAGGAAAGAATCTGTAATGAAACTTTAAATCTCAAGGAGGGTGATGTAATTTCCAAAAACTGAGGGGGGAACTGTAATAAATATAAACCCTAGGGGGTGTCAATGTAATTTATCAAAAAATTAAAATGATTAGATATTAGGGTAAATCCCAAATCACAAGTAAATAATCTCATCACTCAATCTTACCGTACTCACTAACCCATTCTACCTAGTAAGGAAAACAAACATGACCTTACTTCCAATGATAGAAATTTGGAGGGAAAATGAGAATGTGAATCCAAATTTCTATAATTTTACTGTTTGTAACTAATTAGAATGGGATAATACCTACTAACACTGTAATCATTTTTCTTAACTAAGCAAAAATCTAATCCCACACTACCCCTAATAATCTCATGTTTGTAGATAACCTGAATCATTTAAGAGTAAAAATAATAATAACCCCAAGAAATTCTATTATAGAAAATTTATTATTAAACAACTGCTTAAATAATAATAGCACAATAATTTTATTACTAATAACATAATTTTTTATAATGAGTTTTTCATTCTCTCTCCTTAATTCTTACCATTCAAAGGACACAAGCCCTCTAGTGTGATTGCCTTCCAAGAACATGCTAAGCTGACCAATTTGAGCAAGTGCATATTCAAAAAGAAATTCGATACTTGGCATTTCATAATGCACAAGCATTACTATGTTCTATGAAATATGTTAGAACACACAACACACATTAATGAAGCAAATAGAGTATAAAATGAACCACCAGCTTAAACAAAACAAATGGAATGTGCAAATGCCTTGGCAGCGTGTGATTATGAATGCCTCAGCAGTCTAAACTCGTACATTCATCAGTCTCTGAGGAACTCTACTATCTTATAAATAAACACCGACACTGTACAAAAACAAGATTGTAATGACACAGTTCGGATAAAGAACATAGCTCATTGCATAGAAGAACAAAGCTAAGGTTTAAAGGAATGCATAATTAGGTCAAAGCCAGTTTCTACTTATTGCTATTTTCTTCATAATCTTGTGACCACAAGATTGGGAATTTTACTTGGATCGACTACGGTACGGATATAGAATGTCATCAAGACGTCGTTTCATGTGATTGCTTACTCTACGCAGGTTCTTGGCCACCCTCGTTGCAACCACGCTTGCATTTCTAGAAAATCTGCAGTTATAAACATAATACAAATTTTAAACCTTGTGAGAATTAACATTGAATTCTAACCGATTGAAAAAGTAATCATATAATTGGCTTGCCTGCTCAAGAACTCATCCCCTACGGAGTAAGCAGGTTATTGTATTCAAGGCTGAGGAAATCCACGAGCATCTTCAAGAAAGAAATACCATATATTAGAGTCACAGTAATTATACCAAAACATAAGCCACATAACATTCCAGGTAATGAATTCAAATCATTAAAAAAAATGCCAGTAAATGGAGAAATTTCCATATGATACAAAATTAGGAGCACAAATAAGAAATAGTCGATAGATAGAACTAGAGGAAAACTTTTCATAACCAGTATAACCAGTAAATGCCACGAGGAAAAACAAGATGATATCTTCATTGTTAACATGGCCACTAAAAAGCTTGCAATAATTTTTTTGAAGGAAAGATTTACCAAGAAAATGAAGTCCAAAACCTAGGGAGCATGGATTCAGAGAAATGTTCATGCCCAACAAACATTGGATACCAACACTCATCAAACACGTCCTGTTATTGTTATAGTTAGTTTTTTCTTTTTTTTACCCCCATCCAAAATCAGCATTACTTTGGACACATGCAGAACACTATGGTCTAAACACAGATAAAGCACATCTTGAATCTTGATGCAGGTTTGAAGAAAATAAAATGGGGGCCAAAGATCAAAATCAAAATTACGAATTTGTACATATTAACCCCTCCTTAAGGTTATATAATTTTTGAAACCAGTGGGTACCTGGTCCCACCATGCCACATGCCATTGCCACATCATCTCCAAGATCCCTCCATGTCAATCTCATGAGGTGATATGTGGACCACTCAAATGTGTCATACTAGCTCCTCCCTTGGTCAAGCTATGTTGTTCCTAAATGAGGTTAACGCACATAGCACCTTAGTCTCAACTCTCAAGACAAGTTACATGAACTTAGATGTAAGTACAGAGTGCAAGATGTGTCTCAACATCAATTCATCTAATTCCGAAGTCTAAGGACACCATGGCATGGCTACATATTTCTATTATATTAACATTCTTTTTCATTTTCTAGGGTAAAATATGTTTATAAAATAACATAGAGCAGTGTATCTATAGCATGGAAGTTCTACCAGAGTTTTACAGTAAAATTCTGCAAGTGAAAATATTTGTCGGGTGCCCTCCAACTAAACATGTTGAACATATATTCATATCATTAACCAAGTGTTGAGTGCCCACTGTCAATACGTCACACATTTAAAAAGTCTATGTAACATTCTTGGGGCCCTTCAGCTCAACCAAGCAAGCTTCCACTTGAGCATGCCCTTTCTACTCTAAGTGATGAAATGCTCAGACCCTCCTTGGCTCAACAAACAAACAACTCTTCACCTTAATGTATCCATCCTATGACGCATAGTCATTTCACTCCAATGGCACCTTAATGTTCTCACACAAAATATGTTAGAAATGTTAGACTTAGGGATCCCTCAGGGTAGGTGTTGTGATTTTGACCTACGAGACTTCTAGGGATACGTGATGTGGTGGCTAGAATTCATCCAGTTACTCATCCATGTTCCCAAGGAGCCTACTTACTGA